ATTACATTACATTACATTACATTACATTACATTACATTACATTACATTACATTACATTACATTACATGACATTACATTACATACGTACATACATTACATACATACATACATTGCATACATACATACATACATACATACATACATTACATACATACTGTGCGATTCTTTTTCGTGACGTGCGCTAAGCGGATTTTGCAACCGAAAACGCGAAAACGCGAAAACGCGAAAACCGCGAAAACCACGAAAACGGCAAAAATCACGAAAACCGCGAAAACCAGGAAAACGGCAATAACGCGAAAACTGCGAAAGCGGCAAAACACGCGAAAACCGCGAAAACTGTGAACACGCGAAACCCACGAAAGCGGTGAAACCGTGCAAATGCCAACTTTCGCGCGACGTAACCCTTTGAAAAGGTGGCAAACGCATCCCATATTCTGTCTATCCATTTATCTATCTATGTATCTGTCTATCTATCTATCTATCTCTATCCGACTATCGATCTATCTATCTATCTATCTATTGATCTATCTATCTGTCTATTTATCTATCTCTATATCTATCTCTATCTCTTTCTATATCTACCTATCTCTATCTATCTCTCTCTATCTATCTATCTATTTATTTATATCCATCTATGTATCTATCTATCTACCAATCTATCGATCTATCTATCTGTCTATCTATCGATCCATCTATCAGCTTGTCTATCTATCTATCTATTGACCGTATCTATCCTATCTATCCTATCTAGATATCATATCTATAAAATCGTTCATACCTGCCCGATTTAACTCATTGTATCTTATCTAGATTGTCCATCTGATCTATCTGATAAATATCATACGTCTTATCTACCTTGTCTAGCATATCATATCTATACTATTTACCTTATCTATCTTACCTACCTTATCTTATCTTATCATAGATTATCTTGTCTTGTGCTATCTTAGCCTATTTTATTTCCTATCGTATCCTAGCTTGTCCTGTATTATCCTATCTGCTCCTATCTATCGCATTTTGGCCTATCTTACCGTGTCTTATCCTGTCTTGGCCTATCTATCCTATGTATCGATCGATCTGCTTGTCTATATATCTACCTATCTCTCTGTCTTATCCTGTCTTATCCTACCCTCATCCTGTCTTATCCCATCTCATCCTATTTCCTATCGTATCCTACCTTCTCCTATCGTATTCTATCTTATCCTGTATTAGCCTTACTATCCTATCTTATCCTGTCTTATCCCGTCCTATCCTCTCTTATCCTAGCCGATCTCATGTTATCCTACCTTACCTTGTATGTTGCTATATGCTCCTACCTTATCCTATCTGTTCCTCTGTATCTATCGATTTATCTACCAACCTACCCACCTACCCACCCACCTACCTCCCATCTATCCCATCCTACCTATCACATCTATCTTATTATATCTTATCTATCTGATCTACCTTATGCATCGCATCAAATGTACCTACCTATCTACATTACCTACCTTGTCTTTTCTTATAATAGATTTTTCTGTATTATCCTGTCTTAACTTCTTATCCTGGTGTATCCTATCTTATCCCATCGTGTTCTATCTTATCCTGTCTTACCCTATCTTATCATATCTTGTCACCTTATCTGATCCTATCTGTCTATCTATCTATCTATCTGATGTATCGTATGTCTTATCTACCTTGTCTACCTCATCTATCATGTCTATCCAATTTACCTTATCTACCTTGTCTACCTTACCTGCCTCTATAGCATCCTGTCTTAGCTTCCTTAGCGTATATTATTCTATAATATGTTATCTTATCATGTCTTGTTCTAACTTGTCCTACCTTACCCCATGTTGGCCAATCTTTCCGTGTCTTATCCTATATTATCCTGTTGTAGCGTATCTTATCCTATGTATATATAGATATACATATATATATATATACATATTTACCTCTCTATCTATTCATCCACATCAATATATGTATATAATCATATGTTAGCCGTTTTTCATCCTACCATATCCTGCCTTATGCTGTCTTATCCTGTCTTATGCTATCTTACCATGTATTCTCCCGACTTATCCTAGCGAATCCTACCTTATCCTATGTATCTATCTATCTATCTATCTTCTCCTATGTATCTATCTGCATATCCATTTCTCTATCTATCTATCTACCTAGACACCTACCTATCTATCCTATCTATCATGTTTATCATATCTATCCTATCTTTCCTATTTGTCCTATCTGTCGCATCGTATCTATCTCACTATCGTGTTCCATCTTATCTACATGATCTATCTTATATGCCTTATCTACCTTGACTATCATACCTATCATATCTATACTATCTATCTTATCTATCTTGCCTACCTTATCTTATCTTATCACACATTGTCCTGTCTTATCTTCTATCTTATCTTCTATCTTATCCTGTCTTATCCTGTCTTATCCTGTCTTATCCTGTCTTCTCCCATGCTATGTATCTATCGATTTATCTATCTATCTCTCTATCTAATCTAATCTAATCAAATCTCATCTAATTTATCTATCTATCTATCTATCTATCTATCTACCTACCTATTTTGTTTCTATGACCGCTGGGCCTCAAAACACAAGGCCAGTAGGCATACTAACAACACAAACTCGCAGCGAACACCTGCGAACATTGCGAAAGCGCGAAAAGCGCGAAACCGCGAAAACCAAGAAAACCGCGAACACCGCGGAAACCACGAAAACGCGAACATCAGAAAACGCGAAAACCACGAAAACCACGAAAACCACGAAAACCGCGAAAACGCAAAACCAGAAAACGCGAAAACCACGACAACCGCAAAACCGCGAAAACCGCGAAAACGCGAAAACCGCGAGAAAACCGAGAAAACCTAGAAAACCAGACAGCTCCGTTGCTGGCTCTCAAGGCGTTCGCCTTTGTTCTTGAAGCTTGCGCCTTTTCACCTTTCTCCCATGTTGGCGTTTCACGGTTTTTGCGATTTAGTGGTTTTCACCTGGTTGTCGCGTTTTCGCGGTTTTCGCGGGCTTCGTGCTTTTCCGGTTTTCGCAGTTTTCGCAGTTTTCGCAGTTTTCGCGGTTTTCGGTTTTCTCGGTTTTCTCGGCTTTATCGGGTTTCCGATTTTCTCGGTTTTCCAAGTTTTCCTGTTTTCTCGGTTTTCCGGTTTTCTCGCGCGAATCCGGTTAGCTCCGTGTCGCTCAAAACGACTGCTTAGCATACATACATACATACATTACATAAATACATACATACATACATACATTACATTACATTACATTGAATTACATTACATTACATTACATTACATTACATTACATTACATACATACATTACATACATACATACATTACATTACATTACATTACATTACATTACATTACATTACATTACATTACATTACATTACATTACATTACATTACATTACATTACATTACATTACATTACATTACATTACATTACATACATACATACATACATTACATACATACATTACATACATACATACATACATACATACATACATACATACATACATACATACATACATACACATTACATTACATTACATTACATTACATTACATTACATTACATTACATTACATTACATTACATTACATTACATTACATTACATTACATTACATTACATTACATTACATACATTACATTACATTACATTACATTACATTACATACATTACATTACATACATACATTACATTACATTACATTACATTACATTACATTACATTACATTACATTACATTACATTACATTACATTACATACATACATTACATTACATTACATTACATTACATTACATTACATTACATTACATTACATTACATTACATTACATTACATTACATTACATACATACATACATTACATGACATTACATTACATTACATTGCATTACATTACATTCCATTCCATTACATTACATTTACATTGCATTGCATTGCATTACATTTCATACATACATTACATACATACATACATACATTGCATTACATTACATTACATTACATTGCATTGCATTGCATTACATTACATTACATACATATATACATTACATACATTACATTACACTACATTGCATTACATTACATTACATTCCATTCCATTACATTACATTACATTTACATTGCATTGCATTACATTACATTTCATACATACATTACATACATACATACATTGCATTACATTACATTACATTACATTACATTACATTGCATTGCATTGCATTGCATTGCATTACATTACATACATAGATTACATAGACTACATAAATCAGTTTTTCTGTTTTGGGTCGGTAAGACCTGTGGGCTGTCTTTGGGGGGAGGGAGAGTTCATGTCCAACTTGTGCGGTTCCAACTCTGAAAACTTACAGCCATTTGGGGCTTTAACCCAGGGCCGCATGGTGTCCCCTCCCATCAGGCAAACATTCTGAGAAGTCGCAGGGCCAGCATCAGATTACATGCATAAACATACATACAAAAAGCACTTGCCGGAGGGGAACCGGTGATGCTGAGGATGCGGGAAGGGTGCAAAAGCCAAAAAGCCAGATGCGAAAAGCCAAAGCCAAAAAAAAAGCCACCAAAAGCCGCAAAAGCCAATGAAAAGCTGCAAAAGCCAAAAAGCCAAAAAGCCACCTGCCGGAGAGGAACCGGGAAAGCAGAGGATGCGAAAGCCAAAGCCAAAAAAGCCACCAAAAGCCGCATAAACCAACAAGAAACCCAAAAGCCAAGAAGCCGAGAAGCCAAGAAGCCGAGAGCCAAAAAGCCCCCAAGCCAAAAAGCCAAGAAGCCAAAACGCCAAGAAGCCAAAAGCGGGAGAGAAAAACCAAAAAAAAAACATGCAAAATCGTCAAACAAATACCCCTCCTTTTTCTTTTGGCTCCCACAAGCCAACCTTTTCACGCCCTCAACAACCAAAACAAAACAAAAAACAACACGCCCTGTTTCACGCATGACCGGCTGGACCGCCAGCACCGAGATCCCAGCCATAGACTGCAGCCAGGGCAACATTTGGCTTCGAACTGCTCAAGCAATTCTCTGATGCGCAAGCAAGAACAATAACTGCATGCCCCAAAAACAGTAAACAAAAACCAAAGTACCCTTTTTGCACTGAGGGCTGAGGTTCAGGTTACCTCCCAGTGGCAACACCCGGTGGACTAAGCAACCGCTGCGCATCTGGCACTTGGCCGGAATTTGTGAAACATCTGAGCCAAAATCCGGCGCGCGATGCACAAGAAGCGTCAAGCTGTGTCACGGGAGACCGGCAGGGGAGGCGGGGGTTTGCTCCAAAGACCTGACAGTAGAGGAGCGGTAGCTGACGAAAGGAAACAAGCTTCCACGCGGGTTTGGTCGCTTGTTGGCTCGGAGCACGCCTGTACCGATGGTTCTCAGCTGCAGTGCAAGGAAAGCCACCCGCGATGACAATGACGGTTAGGGGATGGAAGGGGAGAGGACGCCGATCCACAAATACAGAAAGAGGATAAAACAAAGCAACAGGAGAACAAATACCTTGAACTTTTGGCTAGTTGAAAAAGGGAGGCGAGGAACAAAGGAAAACCATACAGTAAGTCTGGCAATGAACAGGTGAAGCCTCCAGTCACCGAGGGCCTTTTTCGGACGAGCACAGCGACCCCTTCGCTCTGGCACCCTGGCGACAGGGCCATGCACCCCTTGGCTTGTCAGCTGCCCGGCGTTTCCCATAAGAACCAGGGAGTTCAAATCGCAATCCAAACCAAGGGCCACCTGTGCCAGGCAACCCAACGAAATCACGCTGGACCAACCATGATCAACCTTTTGTGAAGCCACGCATGCTGCACAGCAAACGGGATCCACTCAAAGGCGCCCTTCTGGAGCTTGCGGGTTCCCTTCCCCTTGAACCACCGGGAAACTCACTTTAGTTCAGCTCACAAGGTGATATTTGGGAAAGATGGGCGTCCTTCGAGGGAACATTGTGAGTTGCCAAAGGGAAATCAAAGAGAGCTCCGGCTTGGGGGACTCCCCGAAAAAACAAACACATTTGCGGAATCCATCAATCGGGGCCTCTCAGCCCAGGAGCTTCCGGAAGTCGGCATTTGAGAGGTTGGCTTTGGGCTCCTCCTTTGGCTCCTTTGGCTCCGTTGGCTCCTTTGGCTCCTGCGCGCAAGCCACCACCGACGGCCCTAAAAGGTATGCCTCTTATGCTTGACTGGGGAGGGAGGCGTGTTCTGGAGTGGCGTTGCTTTCCTTGCAGGTTTATCGTGGGGCATTGCTTAGCTCCATTCAGGGCTAGTTTGCTAGGTGGACATTGGCTGCTCCGGGTGGCCAGTCCGCTTGTAATCTTCGGGAACGCGTTCGGACCTTCTGAACACCCACTTCCTGCTAACACATGGCTGTGGGTCAAAACTAAACCAGGGGACGGCAGATTTTAGTTCATATGTCCATTTACCAAGGTTGAATTTTGGGTACCCATTTTTGACCCACAGCCATATGTCCATGGCCGCCGGCATCCGCAGCCACTGGCCCATCGCTGCTTTTTGCACTTACTTGCCACATGTCGCCACAATGCGCCGGCGCGGGCTCCGGCGCCCCACTGAATTCCAGCGATTGACGCCAGGCTGTCACGTGACATGCAAAACTGGCCGCCCGCTGAAACTGGGAAGCAATGGGACATTCTTACCTACTGCCCATGACTTCTCATGCAAAAATGTTTTTTTTTGTTTTTTGTGGGATGCTCTGGAGCTCAGAGTTGTCGCCAGACCCAGGGCATAAGTTCCAGCCCTTCTCGCAGGTTCAGCTCTCTCCTGGCGAGGCACATCCCAAGCCGCGGAATGCTGCGGAGCACCGGAAGCTTTCCAAATCCTAGTCCCTTCAGCAGCCAAACATGTAAGTTGGGTGACCCGAAATGATTTCTAACAAATGAGCTGTTCTCGGATTCTGCACACATGATTGCCCGTTGGTGCAAAACTCCAACCCGCTTGGGGTTCCCTCAGTAAGGTGCAAGAGATAATTTTGTGGATTGCCTTAATTACAGTTCTACACATTCCATGGCCTTGACCAGGCTCAACAAGATGAAGCAAGGAAAAAACAGCATTGTTTTTCCTTGGCAAATGTAAGCAGACGGAAAACCATGTGCCTGGGCAAGATGTCTGTCCCAAACAAACCAGGAACGTCGACATGACAAGTCTAAACAAACGGCAAAGCATGCGTTTGGGCAATGGTTAACGGCAGCGGGCAACCAATCCAGCTCGGACCAGGGCAAGAGTGGACACTCCCTGCCGTGCTCCAAAAAGGTGTAAAATGCACCTATGAGCCCTTACCATCCCTTACCTACCACACCCAGTTTCCAGAACCTACATCATGAGGAAAGGGCTGTCACGCCCACCGCCCCCAAAGTACAAACCTCAACATCGTTCCCTTGTTCAAATCGTAGGAAACCAGTTTAAACTTTCTTTTTGGTTCTGGCCGCTAAACAAAGACAACAAACAAAAGTTGAACAGCTCGAAGGTTTAAGTTTGGCCTTGGGGTCCCAAAGGGGACCCGACCCACTGGGTTCCCAAGTCTCGCCTTCATGTTGCCCAGGCAATGGGGCCATGAAACCGCCATCGTTGCAGCCCTAAGTACTCTATGACCGCGTTCATGTCCGCATGGGCACTGATTCGCACGCTTCCCCGCACCTGAGGCGGCCTCCGAATGTAGACTCAAACAGAGACTGGAGGTGCTTGAGCCAAACATGGCTTCACGAAAGCAAACGTGCAGATTTCTACTCCCAAATGGCAGCGGGGAGAATTCACCAAGCACCGTCTTAGGCAAGGACCCATCACTTCTTGAGACAAGCAATCACTTGCGCCACATCCCGAGTTCATCCACACACGCGTGTCTCTGCCGCGCAATTGCTGGCAAATGTGAGTATCACCAAATCACCACCCAATCGCACCAACGCATCTGTCAGTCTACCTATGTCTACCTGTATGGTAAACGCGCACGCATGTCCCTAAGTTGTCATCCAGTTTCCCGCGAGGCCTCGAGCAGACCAAAACGGATCCAACAAGTCAAAGTCAGCGGTTGATATAGGCCTTAGTACAACAATCAGACCAGGTGGTGGAACCATCTACGGAAATGACCATTTTGGGGTGGGCGCTCAAGTCAATTGACACCAGTTTCGTTTGCAGTTGATACGCCCATTCCGCAAGCCGATCCTCCTCGAGGCGCGGCCTCTTCGCCTCAGGCCCGCTACACCGCCCTCCCGTTGGCAGCTCAGCTTAAAATATGACGCAATCACGAAGCATACTCCTGACATCACTGGAGGTAGGAATATATCAAACAATCAACAAGTGTTGCGTTTGGCTTGGGTGAGCCTAGCGCCGTGCACGAGTCGACCTGTTGCGCCGCTTTGGGCGCATGTGCCAAGCGAGCGCAAATAAGACTTGTTGCGCTAGAGGGGAATGACGAAATGACCGAGACATACCAATTCCAAACGAAATACATTGCTTGTTGGGCCGTCAAAATAGGGGAACCCCGAAATGGTGGGTACCCTCAAAAACACGCGCCCACTTGCAGGGAGGAAAGACGGTGCCTATTCCTTGCGGGCTGCATGTAGACCTGTTCATTGGCCAACAACTTCAGTGACTGTGGCACCCGACCTCATCAGCGCCTTCCTGTCATGGGCATCTTGGGCATGGCTTGAGTGATATGAGCCTACAGCACCAGCTTATGAATGCGCTTTGTCTGGGCTTGCGAGCGCCCAAAGCGCTTATGACGTTGGGGGGGGGGCGACCCTCAACACCACCACGCAAAACCAATCTCTACATAGATGGTATATCACCCTCTGCCCAGCTGCGCATCTTTAGGGCTCCTGCACAAGGCTGACTCCGCGGACGTCTGCCCATCCCATTCCAAGTTCCAAGCTGGTAAGCATCCCTAAGCCGGCTGATCTTGATGGATGACAAAGCCCACACTTTCTCAACGCTGGGATGCAATCTTGGCAATGTCCCTGTGGACGGGCGGATGGCCCCCTTGCGCGTTCTGATTTTTGGTGGGGCCCAACAAGACAGGGGATTTCAGAGGGGGCCGGGTCAGAGCTCAGAGCAATACTCTCTTCCTGATAATGGCAGCACAAACAGCCAAGAGCTTAACTGAACAGTTGAGGGAGAGGGCGGGGAAAACACACTTCACTTCTTAAGGTTCCCGTCGCCTTGGGCTCGTCCAGGTTCAGGCGACGCCTAGCGTCATTTGCGGGCGATTGTTTCGCAGATGCAGTATTTGTTTTGCTGGGATCTGAATTTTTGGGCAGCCCCTTGTTGAGATCCATGTTGGTTAGCCGGAGGCAGAATTGAAGCTGCGCACCCTGACTATTCGTCCCACCGTATGGTCCGCAATCGACCCCGCCAAAGGCCAGTTGGACCACGTGAGCCTGGCTGCCTCCTCTTTGCCCTTCGCGCCCTTTCCTGGCGAAGGAGAATCCACTGGGAAAAAGGCAAAGGCTAGATAAACCGCACAACCAGCGCTGCGCTGCTCCTTACTTACAGGGCCGCGACAGGCAGATTCTGCGCATTGCTCTTTTCGCTGCTACTTGGGACCAAACTCAAAAGTCAGAAGCCGACAGCTGCAGCGACTACTTTGGCCCTTCAGTTGTGTGTCATTAACTGTGGCTATAGGCTCTGCTCTCCATGATGAGTGTCTGATCTACTGGGTGTGGCTGCTGCGCGTTGGCCAGTGGCCGGCCGGATGCGACTGTGGGGCCCAGCGGGCCGGCCTTGCTGTGAACATGCTGTGGCACACTCACTCTTCAACTTCCCATTTGGAGAGGCTGCTGGCTTGCATTGCCCGCCCGCGCACTGCCGCTGTTTCCTTCTGCGCCCTATCTTGGGCTTTTTGACTCTCCCGCTTCTGCTCGTCTTTCGGTCGCTTGTTCCCAGATACTCTTGAGCGCATCTTCGCTTGCCTGAGGGACGCGCCTTGTGTTGCCACTGCGGGTGCGCCCAAGGATTTAATTTGTTGTAGGAACCTCAATGTTGAGCTTCCTGATCTGCCCCTTCCTTGTCTGCGTGCGAATGACCATGTCCAATGTTGTCCTGTCTGGGAGCGTTGTTATCACCTTGCGCTCAGAGCCTTCTGTCAAGGTTGGCTCGTAGGCTTGCCTTCTTTTCCACTGCGCCTCGAAATCCGCACCGTTCGCCCTGCTCCACCAGATCTTCTTCGGTCCAAACATAGGCATAGACGCATCGTCAACCTCCTTGTGCCGAAGTTGAAGAAAGTCACTGCCTTCGCGCCCTTGCTTCCATGTCCTTCCCGCCTGCAAGTGATCGGTGTCGGCTCGGCTCTGGCTTCCTTGCCCTTCTCTTTCCGCTTCTTCAACTGTCTTTGCAGGCGGCGTAGGCCTAGGCGCCCCCATCGAGGGGGAAAGGCCGCCAACCTAATCGCACTCTTCTGCACAGAGCTCCCTCCCAGGTTCCTCCGCCTGCGCCGCTTCGTCCCAGGCTTCACGTGCCCAGCGGTGCTGCTTTCCTGTCGGCAGGGCTCGCTGATGCCAAGTCAAGTCTTCGTTCTCTCCCGCTTGCGGGAGTCATTGAAGCTGATGCGGAAAGGAGCCCTTCTCGATGCCTTTCAAGCAGTGGTCGCTTGCACTTGCCAAAGGCAAAGATCTCCGATCGTCCCGGCTGCGGTTGGTGTTCCTGAATATGAAGTAAGCATGAAGATTCTGGTGCCTTCACAAAGGCCAACCAAGTCTTCCCAGAGTCTCGCTTGCGTGTCACCTGTCGGCTGCCCCCACCTTCGAAAAGAGATTGCGTCAAGTGTCTCTGTCTTCCAGATGATGGGGGCCTTTGCAGCTGGATTGAAAATCACCTGATAACCATTCGGTTGCTTCAGCTTCAATTGTTCCAGCCGCAAAGCTGCTCTTTTTGGCTTAATCTTCACCACCGCCTTCCAGCAAATTGAAAGCAAAGAGCGGCGGCACATCACTGCAGAGCTTGCCCTTGTGCAATGTGCGACGATCCCGTCATCACGCCAGAAAGTCGCACTGCGAGATTCAGCCATGGCACAGGCACCGCTACCAGCGTGAAGCGCACAATGGTAGCGCACTGCTCTTTTCGCTGAAGCTCAAAGATCAAAGGCCGACTGCAATGACTACCTCGGCCCTTGCAGTCATGTATCATGAGCTATGGCTCCATGATGACTGTCTGACCTGCTGAACCTGCCGAAGTGGCTGCTGTGGGGTCTCCTTTGGCCGTTGGCGGGCAGGATGCATCTGCTGGCTTCGGGCCGGCTTTGCAGTGAAAGCCCTCGATTCAGCCGCCGTGTCACTCATGCTGCAGATGCTGCAGTTCCTGCGCTGCGCTAAGGTGAATTACACACGTCGCATTGCATCATGTTGCACTACATTAAACTGCATCATAGTACGTTGCCTTGCGTCATGTCGCATCACGTTGTTTTACGCTATGTTACACTACATTACATTGTGCGCTGGTAGTGATGGTTTATATGTGCACCGCTAGGTGTTACCGTGATCCTACAGTATCATGGAGCATGTCAATCAGAACTGGCACTGACTATGTAGATCTGCCGTGACAGGTTGTTTGCATACCTATCAACGGATACTCATCTAAACGCGAAAATGTTAAGCCCACATTTATAAACCCCTAGTTAATTTTGATCGGGGGTGTTCCCTTGTGGGTCTCCGGATCGCTGAAAGTGGTGGACAACTCATTTTCTCAGATTTTCATCCGGGTTATTGCCTTCCCACCCGAGAAACTCTGAATTCTCTTGCCTTTGCCTTTCTCCTCCTTGCCTTTTCCCTTGTCACCCTTGTCTTCTCCTGACGGAGCAGTTTTTCAGCTCGTCTCCCCGGTTTGTGTTGCGCTCACAACAAATATGCCCGACTCATGCATTGACAAACACCCCGCATTGTGACATCCACATGGATAGGGAGCCCCAAAAAATTGCGGTTCTCCGTTTGGCCGTTTGGCCTACCAAAAAAAGGTTCACCATTTCGAGAAACCCTCCTTTATTTTCAGCGGCCTATGAAGCATGGGTGCTGTGCCGTTGGCAAAGGAATGCAAGGCCCTGCCCGCCTTTGCCCTTGCCCTTGCCTTTGGCTTTGCCCTTGCCCTTGCCCTTCTGACTCCTGCCCCCGCTCTCAGGGCAGCTGTCTTGCAAACGGCCAGGTCAGCTGGGCTTCATTGCGTGGCACTTGCAAGACCATCCACGCGAATGGCCAAATGGGACAGTCACTTCAAGCCCTGGGAATTTCAGCCTGAGATCGGGGCCCCTTCGGCGCCTCTTCCACATCCTCCTGCGATGCGGGGGCGCTTTGTTTTGCAGCCCATGGCGTCACCCATGACAACAAATGACGAGCCTGCGCAAACTGTGCAAACTGTGCAGCCTTCAAGAATAAACGAGTCCTTCACGAGGTTTGACACCATACAGTTTACTTCAGACATACTGGCCCAACACCGAGTTCAATCTAATGACCGATCAAGTCCTTGTTCTTCTTCTGCGTGATCGCCTGCGCTCGGAGGCCGTCCCAATGAGACAACCGTGCGGTGGACTCGTGCCATGTTCGGAAGTAAAAGGCCTGTTGCAAAGGCGATCCGTTGAAGCCCCGGCCGCTTCGTGGGTTTTTGCGGGTGGGCAGAGCCTCCCAACCCCCAAGAAATGAAAGATCGAATTGTCGCAAAGTTCAAAAGCTCAGGTACGAAACCCCCACCCCAAAGTGGCACTGCAAAAAAAACGGCAGCCTTGTCGTTTCTTCCAGATCTCCACTCCGCGACTCTCGGACTCTCGGCTCCGAGTCGCCGGCCCGTGAGCTCTTCGACACCACAATGTCGCGACCACCCAGGACGCTGTCCGAGAGCCTCGGGCTCAAGCCCGCCACCCCCCCTTCCCCCTCCGCCAAAACTGCGAAGGGGATCTTTTCAATACCGAGGCAGGACATCCTCTGAATGATGATGTAGGGGCCATACTGGCATTCCAAGTGTCCCGTAGTGGGGTGCACTTCCTGGTAGTGAATGGTTGCATGCTCAAGGAGTATGGAAACTATTGCATGGTTGCAACCGGTACATGGACTGAACTGCGGTTGAGGGGTAACTCTCTTAAACCAAACTTGAGTGAAAGCCCTGTTTGCATTCAACCGAACACTTTGCCCAACTCAACTATGTGGCTCTAATGGCTCATGTGCCCCACATCCCACCTGTGTCGGGTGCCGGGTTGAGGTTGAGGATAAAACTAAGCGAGTCCATCAGGTTTGAGATATGCGGATATGCGTTTGTCTTTTTTGGGGTACCTCCATTTTGTTTGTGAAAACTATCCAGGTCACCCCTGCCTCACAGTCGCAAGGTGTGGCAAACAATGCAACCTCCCTGTTGCCATGCCCTGGCTTCAACTTCTTGCCAGAATTGTTGCAAGCTTCTTTTGCCTTCCCAAAGGCAGGCCATTTGTGCTTAAACATTACATGCTACCCAACCCTACTGTTGATAGACAGAATCCTGCACCAGCCGGCAGAATTTGAGAATTGAAAAGGCTTTTGTGAAGGTACCCTTTCTAGGCTGGTTTGACGGCAAGCCGAAAGGAAGACTGCCATTTCTTTTGGGGGGGTTCCCCCATTTTGCCGCACACCCATGTTGCACAAGCCTACCTGCAAACACTACTGCGGGCTAAATAGGGGGCCTGGAAATTTGTTTTAAAAAGGCTGTCCTCTCCCCCCTTTTGGCATCCCTTTTGGTAAACTGAAAACTCTGGGCTAATTGCTCCCCCCCCACTAACGTGGCGCCTGGCAGAAGGGTCCCTTCAAGAGGAAATGAATCTTCTACCGTTGCACCGGTGCACTAACATGGAGCCTGACTGAGGCGACTGAGGGGTCCTGGAAAACTACTTTGTTTTAACAGGAAGGGCAATTAATGTGAACCCCGAAACAATACCAGCTGAGTCATAGAGGGTTGCCTTCTGAGAATGCATCTGGGCTTCCGCGGCATCAGCGCGCTCTGGGCCGTGGATGCGTCCTCGAACTCCACGAAGCCGAAGCCACGGGAGCGCCCGTCCGCGGCGCGCACGATGAGCACCTGGCGTTCAACTTGTGGTGGGCTACGGACGTCTCATCAGACGTCTCAGGGGTGAAAGGACACATGCTGGCTTTGATTTTTCAGAGTGTGAAGGGTTGGAACCTCCTTAAAACTGATTAGACATACATACACGCCCAAAACGGTGATTTGGCAAGGTGGTTTTGAGGTGTTTGGGAAGTGGTTTCCTGCGCATTGACCCTCAAGAAACCAGGGGTTCAAGTACCCAAACCACTAATCCGCACCGCCAACGAAGGGTTACCTGACATCTGCGGTAGGTTGAGAAAATGGTCCAGGTTCTGTGTCAGAAGAAAAGTCTAGCCCCCCAACAATGAAAAACATTTGGAGACCCCAGATTGGCAACCGCTGAACAAACAGTGGTTAAACTTATTTAAAGGGTGTATGTTGAAACTGTCAACTCCTGGCCCCCTTCAAAAGGGAAACCGCAGGTGGCTCTGTAAACAGTAGTTAATCAAACCTGTTAGTCAAACAAGGGCTTGGCCGCAAGGTTGGCTATCAGCGGATGCTTTACACACGCACCTGTGTGTGTGTGTGTGCGCTTGTGCGTGTGGTGTTTGCAGATTTTGCTAAACTTGTTGTAATTTTGTTGTTTGGTCGGTTTGCCGGCCACTTGGTTCAATCGTTGGTCGGTTGCTAGGTTGAATGGTTGGTTGGCGGGTTGGTTAGTTCACAGTTAGTTGGGTTGCTTGGGTGGGTGTGTGGGTGGGGATGGGTGTGGCGTGGGTGGGGTGGGGGGTGGGGTGGCTGGGGCGAATTGGGTGGTCGCTTTGTTGCTTGGTTGGGTGGATGGGGTGGTTGGAGAAGGGCTTATTTGCTCGATGGCTGGTTGGGTTGATATCCGCCATTTCCAAACAGGATCTCTTGCACCTAAGGTTGGCTCGAGCCTTTCCGTCAAGCACTGACCGGGTCTTTCGCCCTTCCCAATTCCCAATGAGCCCTCGTCACTTTCCGCGGCGTGTGTCGCAGAGAGGCGTCACATTGACCCAGGTCAATAGGTCATCCCTGCTGAGCATGGAACTTAACAGTAAAGGGGATCCCCAAACAAAGTGTCCGCTAATGGTGTTTTTTTGTGGGTTCCATGTTAGCCTCTGCAGGAGGGTACATTGCTGTGTCACAAGCTCACGTGCTCCACAACATGGCTCCAATTGCGTGGAGAAGAGCACTTCACCATCTGCAACAATGGTGAAAACTAGCGTCTCAGGCCCAACTTTTCCCCGATTCCGCACAGAATACGCCACAAGTCTAGTGATGGTGTTTGGGATGCACCCTGCGTAGCCCATAGTTTCACCAACTGATTTTGGTTCGGATGTCCGTGTTGCATAAGTAGGACCTGAGCAGGTCAGCCCTGCCCTCACTGCATGGGGTTCTCACTACACTCGGAGGTGTCCATCATCTCCAGGTGCCTGGCACGGCTCTTTCGGTAACCTAAGTCGTGAGGGTCCAGCACGTTTTTGCCTTCAGGGTCCCTCAACAAATACATCTCTAAGCTGGGAGAAAAGGGATCTGTTGAGGAACTTGTTTTACCAAGGCCACCCATGGGATATGAATAGCCAGGCCCCCGTTGAGCCGCGCACCTATCCCTTGTATTTTTCGAGGATCAAAAGCCTGGCGACACTCGAAACCTCTGGTTTTCCGGCCAAGTCAGGCGCGCCTAGTACGTGTTCCCGTGAGGGCTCCCTATAAAACACCCGCATTGCTCGAAGCGCCCGTTACATCCCAGGTGCCTCTTCTGCCCGTGCGGGCCCGGCGAGGGACCGAAGGCGGGCAGCTGACCGCTGCTCACCTGCAACTGGACCTCATGCGCTCGGATCGCCGGCTTCACTTGGCTGAAAAAATAGTGTGTATATATATATATATGTGTGGAAACAACAAACACGGGACAGGTCAGCCGTTGTTGGACATGAATCTCAACCTCAATGATGTCCAGGCAGGGTTGTTAACAAAATACATTGTTGGTCTCAAACTCAATGCTTTAGCATATCTTACAACATTGTCGGTCTCAAACTCATTGCTTTAGCATAGTGAAATCTATGTTGTGGTTGTGGGCTCTCCTCTTCCTCTACCTCTACTCTTCCCGTATCTTGATTTCCTTCTTTCGCGCGCCTCACACTTCCTCTTACCTTGGCCTATATGTGGGGTACATGGAAAACTTTCAGTCAGATTCAGTGTCATACTTAGCCATATTCAAACCTATGGCAAGTTTTGGCAGCGACGCCTACGGTGGAAATTGACTTCTCGCGGATTCTGAGTGCCAGACCCTGTGGAGCATCTCGTACTCCCTTGGTTCCGGACATCAGGCGGAATTGGGAACCTCTCTCAGTCAACGCTACCTTGAGCGCAGGGAGAAAGAGAATAAAAAGGAGAAAGGAAAGGGGAAAGAGAAAGATCAGGAGAGAGAAAAGAGAAGGAAACAGAGAAAGAGAAAGAGAAAGAGAAAGCAGACAAAAAAGGAACCAAACGTACAAAAACAAACAGAGAAAGTCTAAAAAAATAAACTAAAAAAATGACAGAAGATAAGCCAGAAGATAAGCTCAGGCGACATCCCCAACAGCGCCACATGGTTTATGCAATGGTTGGGTCCTTCTCAGCTTTTTCGGGACCGCCCCTTGCGTCCCCAGAGCGGAACCCTCGCAGAATCCTGCGGAACCTTGCCTCAAAGCCGCCCCGCACCACCCCGCAGCCCAAAACGAAGAGGCAAGACAAAGAAGGTAGAGGAAAGAGAAGAAGGAAGAGCAATGATAAAGGGTAGAGGAAACAGGAACGTGAAAAGAAAAGATAAACAGGATAGAGGATAGAGGGTAGAGAAAAAGAAAGCCGGAAAGTAGAAAGAAAAGAAAAAGAGGAAAGTGACGGGCAAAAAGAAGAGAAAAGAGAAGGATCAAAGAATGAGGAAAGAGGAAACCGGAGGAGAAAGAGGGGAAAAAAAGAAAGAGGAAAAAGAAGGAGAACGAGGAAGAAGCAGAAAGAGGAAGAAGCAGAAAGAGGAAGAAGCAGAAGAGGAAGAAGAAGGAGGAAAAGGAAAGAGGAAAGACAAAGAGAAGGATAAAGAGAACAGCGGAAAGGGCAAAGAGGAGAAGATAGGGAATCGGGTGGAGCAAAAGAAAGAGGAAAAAGAACGAGTAGAGAAAGAGGAAAGAGAAGAACCAAGAGGAAACAGAAGAACCAAGAGGAAACAGAAGAAATAGAAAGAAAGAGAAGAAGAGGCAGAAAAAGAAAAGAGGAAATCCAAGAGGCTTATTATTCAGTACAACTCAAAAGATTTCTATGGCAACCATGATATGCCTCTTTTCTCCATTCATCATTCACTCCGATGTTTGTGTCATTATCTTGGTCTAATAGAAATATGTGTTAGGATGTGGGACAAGAATGAGAGAGACTAATGACTTTCAATCACCCATCCCTTCATGCCTCCCAGTCTTCGAGAACAAAAGGGAGGAAACAGGAACTGGAAAGAGAAGGAGAAAGAAGAAAGGGAAAGACGGGGAAAACAAGGAAGAGAAACAGCAACAGACAAACGAAAAGAGAAGAAGGACAAAAGTGGAAAATGAAACAGAAAGATAACTAGGAAGGATAAAGTGACAGAAAGAGGAAAATATAATCAAAAAGGAGGACCGACAAGGAACAAAAGGAGAAAGAGGGGGAAAAGTGGACGACACAGAGGGCAAAGAAGGAGCAGGAGAAAAAGGCAAGAGGAAAGAGAAGGATGGGAAGACAAAGAATGAGAAAGAGTACAGCAACGGAAAGAGGACAGAGGCGGAAATGGAAAAGGAGAAAAGGAAAGAGCAGCGAAAGGATGAAAGAGAAAAAGAAAGCGGGGAAAGAGAAAGGGCACAATAAAGCGAACAGAGAAGGAGGAAAAGAAAGAGGAACGAGGAAAGAGTAAGAGAAAAGGAACGAGCAGAATGAGAAGAGGAAAGAAAGGAGAAAAACGCGAAAAGGAACGAGAAAGAAGAAGAGACAGAGGAAAGAGAAAGTAACATAAAGAGAAAGGAGAAGGATTAAAAAAAAAAGATGACAACAGATTCAGGAACGAAAACAAAGGGAAGCGAAGGAGAAGGAGAAAGAGAAAAGAGAAAGAGCAAACCAAGAGGAAACAGAAGGATAAGACAAACAACGCAAAATAAAGAGAAGCAGAAGAAGGAAACAGAGGCAGTAAAAGACGGGAAAAGAGAAGGATAGGGAGAAATTGGAAAGAGGAAATAGGAAGGAAAGGGGAAAAAGGAGGAGACCGATAAAATGAAAGAGACGAGGAGAGAGGTAAGAGAGACCAGGTCTGCCGAGTGGCCGAATCTGGTTCCGGAAGCCCTCGTTGATGGAGATGCAGTGCCGCCGAGTCAGCACGTAGGTGTGGGCTTGATCTGAGGGAAGATTAAATCTCTCCATAACGTACCTGCCGTGACATTGGGAGGAAAAAAAGAAGCTTAAGGATCCAGAAACACTGCGAGCACAAGGAATCGACAAATACGTGGAGAGATCAACGGCCCTACCCAGTTACTCTGCAAATCTGAGGGGGAGATTGAGGACATGATCAACCTTCGCAGGGGCTGCCCATTCACCTTAGGGTTGCTTAGGGGATACATCCAAACACCTCCTCTACATCCCTCACGGCAACGCTGGCCACCCGACCGAGAAGCGCTAGTTCGACCAAGTGGCGCTACAACCAGCGCGGCTGAGCGAGACATACCTGCCAAACCAAACGCTCATAACGACCCCTGCGAACGTCTCGCCTTTCAGCAAGGGGTCTAATGTTGTCTGCAGTTGTTGGCTTCCGGATTGCGATTGATTTTCAATCCCTCGCAAAAGGTTGGCATAAGATTGTACAAGCCTAGTCATGCCTCAGGGCTCAAGCGTGCTCACCCACCCATGAGTCTGCGCAGTTCAGGCGCCAACCCAGCCTAAAGAAGCAGATCCAAACAGCTTTCGGTTTCCCCTCGGCTACCCTCAAACAAACACGTCAAAAGGGGTGCCCAAAAAAGTAATCCAATTATTTGCTCAATGTCAATCATATTGGAACATGCCATAGCAGGTGCGAGCCATGCGTTTCAACTCCCAACTTCTTGCTTCATACGACTCGAGCAGCCGCTGGGCCCGCTTGAATAAGATATCCTCAGAAATACCCGAGCTAAATGGTAGTTAAAACGGGAACCACGCCCACAAGTGATTTCGAGACCACCTCACAATGCAAGCAGTTGAAGGAACCCTGCAAGGCTCAGGGCCCAGTCTCATTCCACCAAGCGGCCAGCATTGCCGTGGACCAAGATCCGGCCCCCTCTTGCCAGAACACCATCGAGCAGCTGCTTGACGCTCGGGAAAAAGCGGATGATGTTCTCGAAGGGGCTGTCACCTTGGACGTGTGACATATAGTAATATCTCACTCTCTTGGGCTATCTTGGGCTATCCCGCTTGCCATGAATTAGGAGACATATAGCACTATTGGTCCAGGAAACTCTGACTTACATAGCTACACGTGGTAGTTCATGACTTCATGCTGGCCACCTCTTGTCACCGACCAATCTTGGCCAGCGACTCATTGGGCACCGTTTTGCAAACAAAGCAATCACGGAGCTTCCCAACACTACTTCCATTACCGCCTTTGAGGCCCTCCACAAAATCGAGCCATGCGTACTCAGCAACACCAAACTAATACGAAACAAATACCAGACTGAACTGAAAAGGACCGAAAAGGACCGAAGACTGCTAGGGAAGGGAAAACGACCTGTGCACTGATCTGAGAGTTGTTTGTGCTCACGCCGCCACTAACGGCGCGGAGCATTCTGCACATCTTTGTTTGAACCCCGCACCTTTCCCGCTGTTCCGGCCCGGTCGACGCCGCGATGACTTTGGGGGGGTGTGGAGTGGGGTGGAGTGGGGTGGGGTAATAACGTACGGGGCACTGCGTTTTTTTTTTTTTGGGGGGGGTAGTGCCCGACACACCTTGCGTTAGCATCACGCAGGCAGAATGGACTTTTATATGCGCTAGCATGTGTCATCTTGCAAATTACGACTGGCACACACTTCAGTTCGGTCATCCATAGTCCGCTGCAGTTTGCCAAGTGTTCCCTTGCCTCGGGAATTTCGAAAGGCTGGCAATCCGCGAAGAAGCTGCTGGCTAAGAAGAAAGGCGGGCTGCATCCCGAGCTGTGGCAGTACTTGCGCACGTACCAATGGATGCGCAACACGCATGATTGCTTGCAATGCCGCAGTAGTTTCACGCCCAGAAATCCTGATTGGGCGTTTGCCAAAGTTGTGAATTCCTCACAGGGGCCACGCATTAAACAAGGTCCGACCTAAACAGCAAATGCCCCCCAACCGAAATCAATCAACAATGACAAGAACCCCTCAAAAATCCAGATCCTTCCAACATCTCAGCTCTGGAAACCAATCAAACTCAAACCAGTGATCCGGTGCAAGGCTTGCATGACAACTCATGTCTGATTCCATGCTGTTCCCACAATCCCCCGCACTATTGCAATCATGCCGACTAGTAGATCGGATGACTTTTCCCAAGCCACCTGAGCCTGCCACAGTCGCCAACCCTAAGGCATCCATGTTCCCGGACGGAGTGAACAATGCCAGCAAAAATAACTACCCTATCCCTTGCAGCTAAGCTGCGGCATTCCAGCACCTTGGCTACGTTTGCGAGAAAACAAAGCGACGAGCATTCCCTATGTTCCTTTTAAGTCAGGGAAACTCATTTGAGATTGGACCCAGCAGTGATGTATAAAACAATTCAAACCATGGTTGGGTTCAAATTGTCAAAACAAATTTGTTGCCTAAGTCACAACGCAGTCATACCAATGCGAAGTTTACCTAAGCAACCGTTATCTTCTTTGGGGGTTGAGTTGAAGCCGCTAATTGGCAAGGCAACATCTCCGGCCCGGTCTACACTAAGGTGATTGTAACGGATTTCATGGGCTTCACTACACCCTCACTAACGCAGGTAGACGACTAAAATGGCTCTCTTGGGTTCTTCCGGCGCTCAATTGGGCTTACGTGAGCATCACCATTCGGAGCCTCGTAGTGGATGAATTCAGGGTACTTCGGGCAGATGATTCCTTGGCTTGTGCAAAGCTTGCGCAGCTGGGCACGCTGCTCCTTGCAAACCTTGCTGATCCACCTAACGAAACGCATCACTGGAAGCCCAGGATTAGGATGTCTAAATTTTAGAGGGAGTCTCGCACTTTTGGGATTCCTTCCCCCTGTTCATCCACCAGGTGTATGAATCTGGGCCAACATAATTGAGCACGGCATCTAGCTTCTTCCGGCGCTCGGACGACCAGAGCATCTGTGATGCGCACCCTCGTCAGAAACTCCTACAGAAGTTGGGCACAAGCAACTGAAAGTCGTGCGAATTGACATCTAGGACGCTTGTCGCTGACCCTACGTCCATACTGAGCATCACTGGCTCAGGCAAGCGTTGAACATCGTCAAATGACACAAATATATATATATATATATACATATATACACATAATTATATATATAGCTTCTGCGGCTGGCAATGCATCTCTCATCTTGGCCCACATCTCGGGTACCCAGAAAGTAACATGTTCAGATTCAGCTGCAGGTTTGGCCTGCCTGAAACATAAAGTATGTTTCTGGCGGGTGATTGGAAACCTCAACTCGTTTGCGATCCGTCCCTCAAGGACAAAAACCCAGCAACGCGATGCGACGTCGCGGGTTCCCATCCTGGTCGCGGGCGGCCCCGAAGGGGCCCAGCCAAAGACCGGGGATGATCTCCTGTGCCTCTCGCCTCACCCCACTTTCAGCATGCCCAAGGTTTGACACCGCTCCAACTTGGCATGTCCTGAAATCAGGAAAATCTATAGTTAGTAATAACAGTAATAACCATGTGGACTAACATGTGCATACATGCGGGTATTCAGCATGCGGACCCGAGAAAAAAAATATATTGAATACAACGCATGATCCACCTCAACGCCTGGGAGTCTGGAAAACATTTGTGTCACGCATGTTGCTGGCTCGCTCGGTCGCTCTGCCTGATTACAAACATATATCTTTTCATGTGTGTACATACACCTTCTGCACTCTGGATTACATAACATGACTGTTGCCCACACATTGCAAGCATCAAACGCGGGCGATGCAAATAGACCAAGTCAGCCAAGATGCTTCTTGATGTAAACCCAATCAGTGTCTGGTTGAAGCAAACCCTGCACTCCGGAAAGCGCCGTGGAGTACATGCCACTCCTACGGCGTCAAGTGCTCGGTATGCGATGTGGGGTTGATATACAAAAAGCAAAGGTTGGGACAAAGAGTGGCGTTCATAAAACCAAGCTTTGCTTCACCAAGGGTTGACACTTAGAGCTGAGCGTGAATGGGTTCTTGATCGGGCACTGGCATGAATTGGATTCAATGACTGTATGCCCTGGTGTTCCGTGATTTTCAAACACCAGGAGGTCGCTGCGTGCTGTTGCTTCGAAACAATCATGCATCGCATTCTTCAGTAGCGCATCTGGTTGTGCCGTGGGATGAAACTTGTGCTATTAATGTCCGAGCTGAAACTATCTGAAACCAACCAAAAAAAACAACGCCACTACAGCGACATATATCCGGCCTGGAACATGGGTATAACTCCCCAGTGCATCTGGGCAATGCACTCCGAGCGGCCAAAACTTGGCATTGCATCTTCGGTCCGCCACGTGTTTGACATATTGACATATAGTTCACCAGTTGTTCGAAGCGACCCATGGCACCCTTTGAATACTGGGTCAAACCACCTACCAACTGGCGCAGGATTCTGTCCACCCACAGTGTGATTGAACATCAAACGCTGGAAAGTTGGACATTCCTAGCCTCGTTGAAATGAAGCTGAAGCGCGGGCGTCGGCTCGGCAGGCACCCGTTTCCGTCCTGAGATGTGCATCGCTGCATGCGCTGCACAGCACCAGCGAAAGACCGGCTGAGCCGAAAGAGGCAGCATGGAGCCAAATCCAAAGCAAAAACATAAACACAAATGGTGCAAGCCGGTTCAGGCAAGACGTTGCACATACTCAAGAACCACAGCAAAGCCTCCAACAACGACACGAGTAGGTTCGGGTAGATACCAACTCAGCATCCTCATGCAAAAGGCATTGTTCTTGAGAATCGGCAGGTCCGCCCTACGAATTTGCAAAGGAATGATGGCAACAAACACAAACATACACATACCACGGTGGCCTCGCACAAGCACACTTTGTAGCTCGTCCGGCGTAGGTGGTCTTCGAGCCAGCAGTATTGAATGATGTGTGACTTGTATATCGCCCAGAAGACCTGTGAGGAATCAGCAGCCGTTCACAGTACTTGAGGGCAAAAGAGTCAATATGTCCAAGTGAGGCATGGTCAAACAACTACTTGTTTTGTTCCATGAACAATTCAGGGATTGTCCTGGGTTTCTCGGAAATTCATGATGCCCTCCAAAATCCTAGTGGTTTAGTGGACGTGGTGGAAAAAGGGGAAGCCTTTTTGGGGTTGACTATAGAGGGAAAAAGGGGTGAAACTGAACTACTGGGGGATGAACCATAGACTACCAGACATATTGACCAAACCCTCCTGCCAGCTCGGCCTGTACCACACGCCCGCAAGACTCGAAGTGCTGGGTAAGCTGAGGCTCGTCCACCTCAGAAGGCTCTAGAAACCTTCGTTTGAGCCAGTCAAAGCTTGAATCGAAACGGCCGCACCTATTTACGGTTGGGACTGTCCCTTAAGCTTCGCTTACACGTGTTTTTTCTTGTGGCTTAGTTTTGTTGATCCCTCCCCCCAAAAAGAAGAAGACGTGGGATACAGTATGTCATGAATCCCTATACACGCTAATCATCCAAAAGTCTATGGGTATCTCGGGAAACTTGGGGACCCGCCAAGAAACATCAATGCTGAAGGCCAGCCAAGCCGAGGTGCTGGGAGTGGATAGCTGTGTGCTCCCCCCTAAGCAAAAAAACCCGCAAGCTATTTCCAACCCAAGCCAGCAAACCATTCCTCAACATTGGACGTCTAGCACTTTCCCCAGCACCAGAAAGCCGCAAATTCCCAGGTGTGTCTATGTGCATTGGCTGCCAGCTGCCTATCCCTAGCTTTGCTTGTCGCTTTTGGCGGCTTGTTTGCCTGCCATCCGAGGTACCTTCGCCCCAACTCCTGTCTCCTTCGTTAGCTTACGTTGGCATTAAACCTCACCAAATTCCAAAATGAGTAGCGGGTCATGAGACAAGGACACCCTAAAAATGGAAAGTGCATATAGGTCTGGATTCATGTCCACCGCTTTTGAGCTGTTCCCTATTTCTTTGAAGAAATGGCATGGACGCAGGTTTCAGGCCCCAGCATTGAAGGCGAGATTCTTCACGTAGACTGTCGTGGGGCCTCGGCCACTGGCAACAGCCAACCAAAAAAATCATGGCCCGCATCTGGGTGAATTACACGAAGACATCACATCACGTGGTCCAATTCTGGTCCACATTGAGTCTGCCCCCAAATATCCAACAATTAATTGGACGAGACTCCAGTGCGGACTTGCTTGAACAGTAATAAAACGAAAAAAAATATTGTAGCGCCACAAGGGTGATTTTGGGGGGGGGGTTACCCTTTCAGAGGAAGCCAAAAAGGAAAACCCGCGTTTGGAAGTTCTTCTATTTTGACACATGCCAAAAAAGGACACGGTGTCAGCGGACAAAGTCACGCACATGCGCTCACACACACATACGCACACACACGCACACACACACACTCAAGGAAAGAATCTGACAGAAGCAAGTACTCTCCAAGCAATTGCCCCCGGCAGGAGAAACTGAAACCTGCTTCAGAACACCATCGCAACCTTGAGCATCCTCGCGGAAAGTTGGACGATGTCTGTGACAAGTATGACAACCGCCATCCTTCGGTAGATTAACAAAGTTGATTCCGGCACATCCAGTTACAATAGTACTGATCCCTGGAGCACCCTCAAGAAATGTTGATTGTTCGTGCACATGGTTCATGTGAAAAGTAGATATCACCACCACACAAGTCGCATTCGAACTATCGCGTAACTACAGCTACCGCGGAAACGGGCAGGCAAAGCAATACATGCTTACACGTCTCTTTCGGTTAAAGGGGACACAGACACACACACACACACAGACAGACAGACAGACAGACAGACAGACAGACAGACAGACAGACAGACAGACAGACAGACAGACAGACAGACAGACAGACACACACAGACACACAGACACACAGACACACAGACACACAGACACACAGACACACAGACACACAGACACACAGACACACAGACACACAGACAACAGACACACAGACACACAGACACACAGACACACAGACACACAGACACACAGACACACAGAACAACCACACAGACCACACAGACACACAGACACACAGACACACAGA